GTCGAAGGCAAGTTTTATTAAATCACCAAAGACAAGCTTCATGACGCCCTGGATGCCCTGTTTCGGCGATCTAAAATCCCAGATATTATTGTGGGTGCCTGAGACCTAATTGTACAAATGAGTAGGCTTAGTTCGTCTGAGACTCAGTTAGGTGATCGACATGGACTGGACTCGACACATACGGATAATGATGAACGATTACCTCAGCGGTATGCTGACCGCAGGCTGTTTTTATTCAGCACTGGTCACATGGTGTCCTCCAATGGCATGCCGGCCACGAACTCAAATCGGTCGCATTGCCGTGAGTTACCGATGGCGCGGATCAATAACTGACTGCTGGTCGTCTTGGAACGCATTTGTGGATTCTGACTACGTAAGGAGCAGGAAAAATCTGACAACCCGTATGGTAAACCAGTTTACCAAAATCGTCTTCTAGAGTCTCTTCCAAATGCTCCACTATCAGATGTGAATCCATACTGGAACGAGATCACCGCCTCTGTGCACAGTTTTGCTTGTGGCATGGCGCTAGCATGCTCACTCGAGCACTGAATATCAGACCGAACAATGGCACTACTATCAGGCGTCAAAAGTAAGTGAGCGTGCGAACCGACCGTCCAGTCTGGTGGACACGAAGCCAGAGAAATAGAAGAGTCCCAGAAAGCCGGTATTGCCCGAGGATTATTTCAGTTCATCCGCGCGACTGGTCCCCTATTTGTGTGCGAAACTACCAAAAATCAGAAAGGTGTGACCATCTTGAATAAAGAACGCCGCGAGGGCCCAATACTTATAACAGCAGTTATCGTGGCCACCAGCTCCCACTCATCTGTAACCCACAGTTGACGTATAACCCTGGATGGTGAATGTGGAATCCCCTACGTTCATGAAGGTTTATGGCTGCATATGTTCTTTCAAGCGCCAACGAGCTTGTGGTCCATATGACCTCCTACCCGCATTATTCAAAGACGGGGATAAAGTCCTGTCAGCTGTTGTCTGCTCTGTTTTCCTGCATTTGGGAGAGAGACTGTCCCAGACGACTGTAGGGAGTCGGTGATAGTGTCTAGTTAAAAAAGGGGCTCGGAATGAGTGGTAACCACAGGGGAATCAGCTTGACTCAGTTTTAATGAGACTGCTGGTCTCACTTATGCTTCGTCGCCTTATGGTGGCTCGTGAAACACTGACTCGGAAACAGCAAGCGGGGTTCCGGCCTGGTAGGGGTCGCGTTGACCAGATCTTCACCCTCCGTCAGGTGCTAGAACAACGCTATACGTATAAACTATCCACAATTTTAGCACTCCTTGTTTCCCAAGGCGCATTCGAATTGGTTGGCTGGTCTGCTCTCCTTGGCCCGCCTGTCCATCAAGGAATGTTTCGGAAGTTTGTGAACATAATAGGTTCTCTGTATTCCAAGACTTCCGGACTTGTGAGAGCATACGAGGTACTCTCAAAAGCTTCCATACACAAAGTGGTGTCCGTCAGGGATGCCCACCCTCCCCATTCTTATTTAATTTCGTGCTCGATGAGATAATGAGATGAACAGCGAAAGGTCTTCAAAACCGCGGTGTTCAAATAGCCTGTGAAGAAAACCTTGTCGATCAGGAATACGCGGACGACATCGTTCTCATCTTCGTAAAGGAGGAGGAGGCGCAGGTGATTTTGGATGAACTGACCAAACTCGTTCCACTGTTCGATGTGCATTTTGTACCCACAATGTGTACGGTCATGCCCCTGGACATGCAGTCACTGAAAACGCCACATACAACCCAGAAAGAGGTACTCAAAACTGTGGAGCGTTTTACGTATCTTGGAAGTTATATTCGTTCCGGCTGCGGTATGACAGATGACGCCAATGCACGAATCTGCTAGGCTTCGATCGCGTTCTGTTTACCATACCCAATTCGGAGTGTGGCGCGAGCTGAGAGATGACCAAAGAGATTATGGAACGTTTGGGTACTGTCGGTGTGACTCGCCTTCCATGATGGGGACCGCGTCACCCTCACTGAGCCTGTTTGTAGACGCTGCCAGATATGGCTGCTAATCGATGTCAGTGTCATTCTTGTTGTCAGCTGTATCTACATTGCCTGAATGGCTGTCTGGAAGTGTAGGCCCCTCAGAATGGTTGTAGTAAGCTGGCACTAAGTCCCTTCCCCATCCGCCTTTATTTTATTCTTCACAATAAGGCTCTCGAATAAATCATGGTTGCACGGCAGCGAAGCATCGGTGTTGAACACTGATGTCATGCCGTCGACGACGAACACCATTCGTCCCTTACATAATCACCTTTATAAATATGCTCATATGCATAAGCCTTTGGGTTAACTTGGCTCTATACTTAGTACCCAGAGGCCTTCTAGATGGCCTTGCGTTAATCTCCTGCTCTAGAGAGCCAGTGGCGTAAGAAGCGCAATTTATCAAAAAACCAGCAGGGTGTTGGCGGTTTTATTAGGGTCTCTTTGGGATTTGATTACCTTTTGGAAGTTACTCTGTATATCACGCCAGGCTGGAAGGGCTGTGAATGTTCATTCATTGCTACATATACCTTGGCATTAGTAAGATGCTGGCATTCGTTTGAAATTTCCCGAGATATCAACTCTGGATCCCGTTCAATTCAATTCACCAGTCGGGTCCGATTACGTGCATCGTGTGGCGAGTGAATACCAACCGCAAAGATGAAACACGAATTGATCGTCGGTCATGGTTCTGCGCTTGAAGCGCTCGTATTCTTTTTTGATCACACTGGCGTGATTCAGTATCCCTCGCGGTAATCATGAGACACTGATGACGAATATTGAACAAGGAACTCTCCTCATCATATATTCGAGCCAGGACGTTGATGGTGTCTGGGACGCCATGATCACAATAAAGTTTGGAGAGTGTGAAATTTGCGAATCAATCATGTTATGCTCTCCCCAGTTTCCGCAGAACCAGTCGAAATTTCTATGCTTCATCACACTGAGCAAGGTTTTCTTGGAAAATGTCTTCGCATTTCTTGAATCAACTTCCGAAAGTTCATCCAGATTCAGCATCGAAATTGAATTCAGTAATCGAGCCGATAGCAGTCTATGTGAAAGGCGTTGCCCACCGACATCGTGGGTGAGGATTGTCGGCAGCTGCTTTGCTGACGTTGGTCTGCCTGTTCATCCTACCATGGTGTATCAGAAGCACGGCAAGTTGAGACAACCTTTTACGGAGACAAAGAGAAAATCATTCCAACTGTATTTATAGAACTAGCACAATTTTCAATTCATACTGGAATCTTTGCGATGGTGCCAGAAGCACCGGGCTAAAAATACTCAACCCTGATTGACTCACATTCTGATCATTCATTGCATGCCTTCGTGTTGTCCGTAGCAGGTTCTTGGCATATCCGTCCAATCAAAGTGATATTCGGTTATTTAGAGTAAATGGGATAAATGGGAAAGGTAGAGGCTGTGCTAATAGTTTCTAGGACTGTCTGAGGTTTTCTGAGCATCCGATAAACGCCGGATATCGTTACGACCAATGACCCTTATTAATGCCAGAAAAACTTTACCAGCAACAAAAATCGTGCATCTCTAACACTTCTCTGGTGCCTAGCTTCCATGCCACCCGAAAAAAGCACGGGGACCGGAATACTGCCAGGTTGCCCAGGCCTAGACAGGGGAAGTCGAGAGGCAGAGGTCGGGTTCGAACCACGGACCTTCCGGTCAGTAAATTCGCGCTCTAATCACCTGAGCCATCTCGCCCCTTACCAGCAATAACTATAATGGCACACACAAATCCCTCAAATGTTGATTAATGACTGGCCTAACAATTTCAGGAAATGTCGACGGAAAGTGAAGGCGCAGTAGGCTCGATGTCAGTGGTTTTCTTGCTGTCAATTTCTATTCAGATTTGTCTGATTGAATGCTGCATATGTAGGCGTAAGACCATCGTAGCAGTCTACATTTTCGGGGGGATTTCGCCACACGTTTCGGCCCTCAACCTGGTGGACCAAGAGGATGTATTATGCAGACGTCTAACGATTGGCCGACCAGGTATGATAGGTTTTGTGAGCCTCGCACGTACCTCCGCAGTATAGCTAAATGGGTTATGGAGATGCACAAACTGGAGTTAGATCCAGTCTCTTCCTACTGGTTACTACTTGTGTACAGGGTTATTATTTTTGTGATTATCATTATTGCGGTTGGAGGTTGTTCCTACCTTTGTGGAAATGCAAAGCGATGAGAAAACGAATCCCAGTTCGATCAAGATCCAGTAATTAGAGAACGTCCGTCAAGTTTACTGGCAAAGAATTTCAGCATAGACAACCTGCAAACAAACGTATGTTTGGCAAAAAGGTTGATGTGCTTTCTAGTGCTAAACCAAAATTTCTGGATGTTATCCGTTTCTCTAACCCTTACAAATGCTTGAAGCGACCGTTTAGAGGTTAGATTTCCTTGAAGTTTATTTGATCCGTTGCCTAGCAACCCTAGATGGAGATGCGCGAATTGTGTTTCCCACCAAACCCGGTAGGTGGCTGTTCCATCAGCTGTCATGCCTATCGACTCAGTGTCCCTCGCCCTGCCAGCCGTAGTACTCCGTCTTTTTTTTGTACTCGCTCTATTTTTCCAATAATTCGTTCTTGTGTAATTCGGCCGTTCGCCTGGACTACTTCGCAATGAATTTTTGAGAACGACCGGAGTTATCTCCCCAGATGTGTGGTCTGCATGATCACGCCTCGAAATGTAGTGCCGCTAGATCCCTGTGACTGTTGCTGCCTTGTTTTGCTTCTTTATCCTGGCTTTTTTCGACTGGGCGGTGCCACTTTCCAACTATGAAATCTACTCCCTACTTCTCAACCGTATCCATAAAATTCGGCTATCGTGCCGTGATGTAACGTGAATCTTCACCAGTTGCGCAGTGTATGAGGGCTGAAGATGCCAAAACTCATTACAGCTGAACAGTTAGCTTTTCAAAGTCACTCTTTTGAATTTTCTTCATTCACTACCCTCTAATTATATGTTCTTTCTTTTTTAGCCAAACACACTGGCCTCTTGTAGGCTGCTACGCACGTAGCGTATAATGACGGCAATGACCTCTACCAGCAGTGACATTGTTCCAGCTGGTACAGTGATCAAAGAACGATGGCGAGTGTACAAGAAAATCGGTGGTGGCGGATTTGGGGAAATCTATGAAGCCATAGATATGGTCACTCAACAGAAAGTCGCAGTGAAGGTTGAATCAGCACAACAACCCAAACAAGTGTTGAAAATGGAGGTTGCCGTTCTGAAACGTCTTCAAGGTCGAGCACATACCTGCCGATTTATCGGTTGTGGACGCAATGAACAATTCAATTATATTGTGATGAGCTTACAAGGCAAGAACCTCGCGGACCTTAGGCGCTCAACACGACGCGGTTGCTTTACCATCAGTACAACTGTTCGACTTGCACGCCAAATGTTAGTCGCCATTGAAAATGTGCATAATGTTGGTTTTCTCCATCGGGACATCAAGCCGTCGAATTTCGCTCTTGGCACAGGCATCGGACCTGGTGCCGTCAATCCACGACACATAGTTCTACTTGACTTTGGTTTGGCCCGACAATATACAACAGCCAATGGCGATATACGAGCTCCCCGTCAGGTAGCTGGCTTCAGAGGGACTGTTAGGTATGCTTCTGTGAACGCACATCTCAACAAGGAACTTGGTCGTCATGATGACCTTTGGTCCCTTTACTATATGCTCGGCGAATTCATCGTCGGTGAACTCCCATGGCGAAAAATCAAGGATAAGGAGCAAGTGGGATTGATGAAACAGACCTTTGATCACAACCAGCTTTTGAAATTCATGCCTCGTGAGTTCCGGTCCTTCTTAGAACATATACAGAGTCTTACTTATTTCGATCGCCCGGACTATATGTATCTACACTCTTTATTAAACGCGTACATGGAGCGCCGTAAAATCAGCGAATCGGATCTGTTCGATTGGGAGACCACTACAGACTCGGCACCTGGTACAGGTGCAAGTGAAACCAATCAACATCATACAAACGTTGTCGCTCAACAGGCTGCACAAACCGGCGCGTCTGCACCACAACCCCCGGCCGAAACGGCAAAGTTACGTAAGGCTACAGCTGTATCGGCCCTCGGTCACAGTAGACCTCATGCTTCCGGTGCAGCCGGCGCCGGACTTGCTGGATCCAGTGGTTACATCAGTGCCGCAAGATTGGCAGGCAGTAGCTCCAATTTAGCAGCAATTGCACCGGGCGCGATAACCTCGATCGGAAACCTTGGTAAATCTTTTGACGGAACTGGTGCACATGGGGGCTCTAACAGTGCAGTACCTCGTGTAACGTGTAGCTCGACATATCAACATCGTATGATGCCGGAAGACCTTGCGGTGAATAACAATGTCCAACAGCAACAAAGCAATAACACTCCACGAAAATTGGTATCCGGAGGTGGCCTCCGCAGTCAGCGCCCAGCAACCACTCCTCGTCTGGTCAAGGAGGCGGGAGCTGCACGAGCTCGTGAAGCCGCCGGAAGAGATTCCATCAAGAATGATAATCTTCAAACACCAAATTCACACGGTGTCTGCCTTTCACCATCAAGAGGCGGGGGAAACACTGACTCCGGATGTCAGCCAACAGAATCCTCGATACCAACCAGCCACAGAGCTCCTGATCCCGGTAGACTGCAGCCTAGTGGCACCAGTGTGAACCCGCGTCGTCCAATTAGTGCCGGAGGATCACAAATGCGTAACAGTGGAAGTACCGCAAGCGTCATTGGTTTGGGTACTGGAACTAGATGTGATACGAGCTGTACGCATGCTGTTATTGTTATGGTGGACCAGGGAGAAAATAGCAACTACCATGACATGACGAAAGCGGCTCCGCTAACCCTTGCTAGTCACTGGGTAGCTGGCGGAGAAGAAGGCGAAGAAGGTTCAGATATATCCGAAAATGACGCAAATGGAGCTAAGAATGAACGGTCGCCTAGTGAGTCACATGGTCAAAATGGGGACCGTGCTCTACCAGGCCCTGTCTACAAGGGTTGCACGGGCGATGTCAATGGAACAATCGATGCCAGTCGGGGGTTGCTAGATGGTAAAGTTATCAAAGTTGCCCCGGAAATTGGAAACAATAATAACAACTATTTTTACAACGGTGACCTCGATGTTGACAGCCAGCGACCAATCCAGCCCCCGCCAATGGATGCGAAGCCATCTGGGCATAGCCGTTCTTCAGATCAGTTCTCGAGCGAAGAAGCTCAGAACAGTCCCCTCCGTGGTTCTATTGGCCTATTCGATTCCAACATAATACCGATGCTTCAGCAAGGTGGTTCCACTGACAGGGATCATTCAAGCCGCCGTCAGAATGCGCAGTCCTACTCTGGTGTGGCACGTAAACTAAGTGGATTTCGCCGGCAACCTCCTAAACCACGAATGCTATCACAATTTTCTGCGTATGAGCGAAATTCACCTGTTGAGCCCAACAGAACTGGTCGTGTCGGACTGCCTATGTCATCACGTCTATTACCTGATCCGAGTTCCTTAGAATGGAGTGCTTCCCAGTACGAAGGTGATTTCAACCAGAACACTAGATCCCGCAAGTCGTCGCACGGTCCCACAGACAGCAATGGACATGACAACATCCATCCCCGGTATCGTAATGAATCTAACTGGCTCTCAGGTGGGGCCGAAGTCAGTGATGCCGATGATGAAGATCAAGAGGAAGAAAACGAAGAGGTTTCTATTAACGAAACATCGGACCGCCTGAGTATGGCTCCTCTTAATTATCCGGCATGGCGGACCAATGTGCGCAGTAACCGTTTTCCGACTCCGGCTAGACTCACATATTTGGGAAACCAACCTAGTTCCGGTTCCGCGAACGAAATGAAATCGACCTTCTCTCGGCCAACTGCCCTACCCAAAACCTATTCTTCCTCACCTGTTTATATTGTTGCCAGCTCAAACGAGCCATCTAGATCCCGGTTGAAAATGGCTCCGGATACCGACGAACAGGAAAACAATCACTCAACTGTCCATCCCACTCGCCCGATCTCCAGCTGCGACGTTGATGCGCCCTACCGAACACAGTTACACTTTTCGCCATCAATCCCCAAACCCCTTACGCCTATATCACGTGAGCACTATGCACACTATCGACCACGTCCTTCAAACCTCAGGAGACAACCAGAACGTCGTATCGGTGGACTCCATGTCCGAAGGCCAAGTAGCAAGACATCTGATCTGTTCGACCGTCCTGTATTTTCTACGTCCGAGCACAATTTGTTGGTCTATAACGATGGTGCACCTGATGACGATGATGAAGACAACGATCAGCTATGCTTATCTGCTAAAGAAGATGATGCCTACTTGGTAAGTGTACAAGTTTGTATTGTGTCCTTGTTGTACTTGTGCTAGATGGCTCAGCAGTAAAGGCTCGAACTTACTCACCGGAAGGCCCTTGTTTCAAACCCAACCCCGGTATCCCAACTGATCCTGTCTAGGCCTGGGCAACTTGACGTTAACTTAGCCCTCATACTTCATTTGAGTGGCATGGCAGCTATGCATCGAGAGAGCGCTACTTCTGCGCGATTATTATTATTATTATTACTCGTGGAAACGTCAAAAGCCACTTCTGTTGCCGCGATAGTCTGTGGCTTTTAACTCTTCCATCAAACTGGTTAGGCTCGTGTGAACATATGAAGCGCTGAATTCGATAAATACACTCATTTGCATACCAATTTGGTTTCCACGGGGGACTCACCTGAAACCCAGATGAATCTCTCGTGTATGATATTCTTTAACTGATGAACGTGCTGTACAAAGGCCGTCTCAGGTTGACGAAGACCGCGCGTATACGCTTACCTGATGAGCTCCAAAAAGGGTGAAACTGGTGGCTTGCTGTATGAAAATATGTAGCATTAGTTTTACGTGCAGAAATGTTTGGCGAGCGAACAGCGCTTTCTGATGTTTTTGCAGTGTTTATTACCATGGGACTACTAATTTATCAGAGGTCATTAACTCATGGAATCCGAACAGGAAAAGTAAAGAGCACGTAACAGTTGTTTGCCTATGAGATACACTAAGTATCTTATCTCCACACGCCCTTTACTTCTGTTATGCCGTCGTACCTACTAACTACCCATGCTGTGAATGCAACAGTCATGGCCTCGTTTTTTCTTCTGTACAGCTTTTCATCATCGACAGCATCACATCAGTGTTCAACACCGATGCTTCGCTGCCGTACAACCTGATTTATTTGAAAGCCTTATTGTAGAGAAAGGAATAAAGGTGGACGGGGAAGGGACTTAGTGCTAGCTTACTACAACCATTCCGAGGGGCCTACACTTCCAGACACTCATTCAGGCGAAGCAGATACAACTGACAACAAGAACGCCACTGACATCGGTCGGCAGCCATATCTTGCAGCGTCTCTAAATAGGCGCAGTGGGGATCACGCGGTCCTCATCCTGGAAGGCGAGTAGCACCGATAGCACCCAAAGTTTCCTAATGTCTTTCATATCCCTCTGCCAGGTCAAAGGTTGGCCACCTCCCTGCTTCGGCCAGTGAATTGGGCAAACGATGGTTAGGCATACACAACACGTCCCAACTAACGCAGCTTCTGGTGCTGCGCGCAGTCTCTGCACAACTAGGATGTATCTGTTATGTTTTATTTTTGGTGAATGAGAGCTTATTGAGAAACAGCAGTTCCAGAAGCTTGAGCGCCTCAGTCAGCGCTATTTCCGTCTGCATTAGTTGTGGGCAGAGTCACCTGTGCTTCATTGTGAATTGGTAAAATTCGAGCTTTAAAATCAAACTGAGAATATCACATTTCTGTCAGAATTCATCATATATAAAAGCAGCCATCTTTAACCAGACTACAATTGTTCGTTCAAAAGGTGTTCGCGCATCGAAGCTAGTTCCAGGTCGGGATTCCGTCCCTCAAGTGATTGTAAAGGGAGACCTATTTTGTGGACGTTTCTTGTTCGTTGCAAATTATCAGCGGTGCGTATCTCATCAATCTCCAGATAGATTCGAACCCGCAACTCAACGGGTAGTAATTGAGCACTTCACGATTTGGCTACAGTTTAGCTTGTCCACAGTGCGGTTAGCCAGCTTTCAGACAGGGGATGACGGTGCCTCTTGGCCTTTCAGCATAGATTGATCTCACTTAGAAAGTGAAATCCCGACTCGCCCCTCCAAACTGTCCTCAATGTCTGTATAATTTCGTGATTCCTTCACTGGGTGTCTGTCTGTTGTCTTATCAGATTGTCCTATTCAGACAACTGAAAGTAACCTCTGAATCCGTTGGGAACCTTTTTGAACATATCGTGTTGTTTCAGCAACATACCGAAGAAGTATCTTATCTCCACACGCCCTTTACTTCTGTTATGCCGTCGTACCTACTAACTACCCATGCTGTGAATGCAACAGTCATGGCCTCGTTTTTTCTTCTGTACAGCTTTTCATCATCGACAGCATCACATCAGTGTTCAACACCGATGCTTCGCTGCCGTACAACCTGATTTATTTGAAAGCCTTATTGTAGAGAAAGGAATAAAGGTGGACGGGGAAGGGACTTAGTGCTAGCTTACCACAACCATTCCGAGGGGCCTGCACTTCCAGACACTCATTCAGGCGAAGCAGATACAACTGACAACAAGAACGCCACTGACATCGGTCGGCAGCCATATCTTGCAGCGTCTCTAAATAGGCGCAGTGGGGATCACGCGGTCCTCATCCTGGAAGGCGAGTAGCACCGATAGCACCCAAAGTTTCCTAATGTCTTTCATATCCCTCTGCCAGGTCAAAGGTTGGCCACCTCTCTGCTTCGGCCAGTGAATTGGGCAAACGATGGTTAGGCATACACAACACGTCCCAACTAACGCAGCTTCTGGTGCTGCGCGCAGTCTCTGCACAACTAGGATGTATCTGTTATGTTTTATTTTTGGTGAATGAGAGCTTATTGAGAAACAGCAGTTCCAGAAGCTTGAGCGCCTCAGTCAGCGCTATTTCCGTCTGCATTAGTTGTGGGCAGAGTCACCTGTGCTTCATTGTGAATTGGTAAAATTCGAGCTTTAAAATCAAACTGAGAATATCACATTTCTGTCAGAATTCATCATATATAAAAGCAGCCATCTTTAACTAGACTACAATTGTTCGTTCAAAAGGTGTTCGCGCATCGAAGCTAGTTCCAGGTCGGGATTCCGTCCCTCAAGTGATTGTAAAGGGAGACCTATTTTGTGGACGTTTCTTGTTCGTTGCAAATTATCAGCGGTGCGTATCTCATCAATCTCCAGATAGATTCGAACCCGCAACTCAACGGGTAGTAATTGAGCACTTCACGATTTGGCTACAGTTTAGCTTGTCCACAGTGCGGTTAGCCAGCTTTCAGACAGGGGATGACGGTGCCTCTTGGCCTTTCAGCATAGATTGATCTCACTTAGAAAGTGAAATCCCGACTCGCCCCTCCAAACTGTCCTCAATGTCTGTATAATTTCGTGATTCCTTCACTGGGTGTCTGTCTGTTGTCTTATCAGATTGTCCTATTCAGACAACTGAAAGTAACCTCTGAATCCGTTGGGAACCTTTTTGAACATATCGTGTTGTTTCAGCAACATACCGAAGAATCTTTAACCTAAGGATCAGTCTTCTCACGAAATTGACACGACCCGACCTTTTGCACTTACCAGAATGTGATTCGGGGAGACAGGAAATCCAGGTTGAATACTTATGTTTCATCTCGTATCGCAGCCCATAGAACTTCCGTAAATCTCCTCAACTAAATTTTAAGGGGCCAGTTTTTGAACAAATGTACACCACCCTGTGCTTCTCTCGTTTTCCCCACGTACTGATTCTATTCACACACCCAGTTCTATTCACTCATTCACTCGTCACACTTAGCTTAGTTGCTTCATTCTCGTGTGTCACATGCACAGCTTCATACCCTCGTGTCTGCTTTCGGATTGGAATCCCGTGGCATCAACTGTGAGCTTGCTCTAATCGGCGGAACGCAATCTTCGCGGCGTTGTCCTCTCACATTGTTTTTAAATACCGCCCTTCGCCCGATTAATGATTTGTCTGTCACTATTTCAGCTTTCTGTAAGTTAGGAAAACCATGGGCGTTATTTTTCAGTCTTTCGACAGTAGCGCGAATTAGGACATAGAGTGTTTTGGTACTTTCAGAGGCGTGGTATTGTCGATAACTTGGGGCAGCAAAATTCTCCGTGGTTCATCGCTGAATATTTATGCACTCAAAATGCATATTTCGGTTCGTATCCTGTTTTGATGTGAACAAATATCCATCTGGAATCGCGTGTTTTCTTAAAGAGTTTACAAACCGGAGGTGTATCATTTCCGTGTCTTCTCCCATTGCTTCCTCCCGCTTGTTACCAATCTGGTTTGATGCTGCACGCGTATTTTCGAAGATGCAATAAGAAAGACCTTCTTAATCTCACTATAGTTTTGTCAATCACACTTTCTGACATTTCTGATGCAACCCTAGAAGCCCAAATAGTATTGCCATAGATCTTACATTAAGTACCCTTGATTGAATTGTTCACCCATCTTCTCTCGAAAGCCAGAACATTGCTGGAATTTTGCGTGTGCTTGCTGTCTACGATCATTGAGTGGTCTCATTACCGGAAAGGGTCGGCGCAACCATCTCTGGCCAAACAAAGGGAGAATTCTGTGCACCCCATCCTGAAAAGCAGGCCACACCGGCAGATTTTTCATTATCGCTTTCATGCCATTCGGTCAGAACTGATAACCTCTTTGCCTCTGCCACCCTGAATAAGATAGAAAAATGGCACCGCAGATTCTGATGCTGGACACATTCTTCAAATGAAGTCCACACTGCACAACCAGGCACTGTTTTTTTCTTTTGCTCTGAGGATCCGTTGGCACCAGTTTACACGAGCTCAGATCTCTCCCTGGTAGGGAAAATTGAGCTAATCAGATGCGAATTAAGGACTTTTATCCTCTTTGACCAATGCAATATAGGATCAGCTGCTCGCTGGTGCTGGAAAAAAGACGCAAGGTCAAAATTCCACTCTCGAAGGGGGCTCCGGGGTCCCGACGCGGTTCGTGAATTTAGCTGAATAGCAGCACGTGGTCATGAGAATTGTCTTTCAAATTACTTAGCTCAGCGATCAGACCCTCCTTTAATCAAGATAATAAATCGATAATAATCGTCCAGCTGTAGCACCCTTTCGGTGCCTAGCTGCCATACCACACGAAGGAGGCACGAGGGCTGGGATACTGCCAGGTTGCCCAAGCCTAGACAGGGGAAGTCGGGAGGCAGAGGTCGGGTTCGAACCACAGACCTTCCGGTCAGTAAATTCGCGCTCGAACCACTTGGTCCATCTCGCCGT